ATCATCAGCATATTTTCATGATGTCTTGGGTTATCTTTCACTCCCTCTTGTTTGGAGAGCCCTCAGAGAACCTGACAGAGAAAACAGGTTTTGCAGACATTTGAGTTCACATAGCCATTGCTCTCAGGCCACTGGGAGCCGAAAAACCTTTGACAACCCTAAGAATTCACTGAGGTACTTCTGCTGTTGGCCTCAGTATCAATTCCTGAACATTACGATGTCTTACGGCAGAATCTTACCTCTCACCAAACAACTTAGATGTGGGCTTCTAAATGATAGGATCAAAGAATTATGAGTTAGAAGTAATTTTTTCAAAAAGGTTTAACATTCTGAAACAAAGTAAATTTTCACTTACTTAGAAGAAAGGATCTTAAAGGCTATTTAGTCCCATTTCCCAATTGGTTAGGAATGACCTCTCTATCATTTGAATACCTCTAAGGATGGAGAGTTCATTAACCTACATTATTGAGCAGTATTAGTACAACACTAAAATTGCAAGAGTATAATCAGATCAATTCCCCATCTCTTATTAAAGTGCTATCGTTTTATAAATATGACTTATCTTTTAATTTCAAGTCATTCCGAAAGAATATAACAATATATATGGAGTAAAATCTTGGAAGTTAGTAACTACTGGTGTTGATTCTATATTACATGTAATATAGACCTATTGCATTATAATTTTCACTGGTTTACTTCATTTTATATACCTAATTTTATTATTTTTCAATCCATCTTTACTCAATGTGTATTGATCACTCTTGACACAATATTTTATAATATATATTTTCATATAGGATGACATGATACCCCAGTTGTCCAAAATCCTCCAGGTTTATACCATGTTGTTGTTGTCATCATCATCATCATTATTAGTCCTCATCATCATCATTATTAATCCTCACCTGAGGACATGTTTATTGATTTTAGAGAAAGAGTAAGGGAGAGACAAAAAGAGCGAGAAACACTGATGTGAGAGAGAAGCACTGATTGGTTACCTCCCATACATGCCCTGACCGGAGACCGAACCTGCATATTCCTCATTATTTTTACATAATTTTTAACAGCACTCTTTTCACTCTCAAAAGTACCTTAGTTTAGAGGTACTTTTATGGTCAAGTACTATACTTTAAAGTTTTAAAAAATTGTATTTCATTTTTTAAAATTGTACTAAAAATCTTTACAAACCAAGACTGGAATCCCAACCCCCAATTTCTCTGCACCCTTCTCGTGATCATGGTATCTCCCCTGCCAGGTGAGTATCTTTGCACCCTTCTCAACTAAGAAGCTGTCATTTTATTTTAAAATGATAAATCTCCTTAACTATGGACATTTTTAATGAAATGAATAGCTGCTCCATGCTTAAGAGTCGCCACCACGGAGAGGCTGGACCCTGTGCTCTCCGCATGGGTGGGGTGGCCCACTGCCAACAGGGTGTCACTTTCATTAAGTTACTGGGAGCCGGAGAGACCTTTCTAAGTCAGGCACAGCATGCTGGCAAATGAGATGTGAATGTCCTCATGCCTGAGAAAGCATTCCCTCTACTTGACCAGATCTCTTTCATCTTTGGGTGTCTCCATTTCTCTGTCTCTGAAGGAGCACAATAATGCCCACTTCACAGCCCTGGTGCAGGATTAAAGGGATACTGGCCATAGGACCCTCTCAGCTACCAGGAACAAAGGCATTAAGTAATTGTGAAATGTTCGGTTCCGCTTCTCCAGCTTGGGAAAAAGGGGCTCCCACTGACTTGAAAGACAGCATCGTACACAGACAAGGAGGAACCCACGGGAGAGCAGAGCCTATTACCTTCATTATCATTGTCCCAAAGTGCAGAGGAGAGAGAGCAACAAAGAGGCTAAAGAATTGTGGTCACAGAAAAACAAGAAAAGGACTAATCAATGGGCCACAAAGAAAAGCTGAAAAGATGAACGTCTTGGTTTAAAATTAATCTGTGAAGATTATATGCCAGAAACTAGGGAACCATCTATACATTCTCTGGTCACTTGATCTAATAACAAATTCGTGTATTTTTCACAACAGAGTGGGCCCCGTCTCTCACTCTATCCTTCCTTCCATTATCCACTCCAATCTAAATGCTGAATGGCAGTTCAATGGCCACTTTCAGAATGAATTAAATTTAAAAGCTCCTATTTAGACAGTAAGGTACATTCAAATGACTAACCAATATATAATGACATCGAAACTAGTGATTTAATTTTAGCAGAAAATATTAAGAACTCCAAGAGAAAAGAATGAGTTCGGACAAGTAGCAAGTGCTACTGTTGCTTTGGTGAATTCACAGTCAAGTGCATGTAAGACATCCTCCTGTACATCAATACATGCTGCTAAAATCAAATGAGAAAAATAAATAGTAGGAGATGTCACTCCAAGCAGTATTTTCCCAGCAAAAGCTGTGTTTCAAGAGTTCTTCAGATCACCCTGAGAATGCAGAGAAATTCACAAATCAACTTGCCAAATTGGTTTGGCTGGCAATCACACTTTTGTGCATGGATCCAGCTGAAAGGCACTTCTGACTCTACCTGACTCTCCCAGCATTTCTTCAATCTCTCCCAAGGGTCAGGGGACATCGTAAAAAGAGTGTGACCTTCAGGATCAGCTAGACTAGGGCTACAATTCTAGCGCCACCATCTCACTGCCTGAGTGACCTGGGATGAGTCACATGACCTCTCTGAGATACAGATTACATAACCCTACCAGCCTTGCAAGCTGCTTGGAGGATTAAATGCCCAACCTATGTCAAAGAGCTACGTGCTATACTTAGTTTCACCTATTGCGTATAACTGTAAACAACCGAAAACAAGAGAAGTCCACCCAAAAAACCAACTGCTCCCTCACTCCATATAGGCCAGGCAGATAAGTAATATAAATGAGAACAGTTCTAAAAACATTAACATAAAATGCTTGAGTATACTTGACCAAAATAGGGGACTTAATTTAAGCCTCTGGAAGAGCCAAACTGCAATTCTAATAATGTAAAACTTCTTAGGTGTCAAAAAATATTCTATTTTACAATCTGCACAGTTCCGCACTGGTACAAATCATGCACATGATTCATCTCTTTTAAAACCACACCCCTCAGGCACTCACAGTGGACCTGGCTTCTCAGGGGCTGCCTGCTGTGGGATGAGCCTTTGGTCCTGAATGTGGGAAATGCAGAAGCAAAGGGAAGGGTCTCAAAGCAGCCCACCACCCTTCTCATTCTCCAGGTAAAAGCACCGAGGCTTGGAGGGAAGCTGCCGGCCCTACGTCAAACAATAAAGGCCTTGGGTTAGGATTTGGAGGGAAGCCATTATAAACCAAACCTGTGACAATCACAATAATAGTAACAGTGATTTCATCATCGAGTTTTATTCACAGATATTTCCAATTCTGTGGCCAAACAATGGCTTTGGCCTGGCTGGCACTAGAACTGTCCTCCAGGAATGAAGTTTTCCTTCAATATCACAATAGCGAGAAACCTGCTGAGAGAGGTCAGTCTTACTTTCCATTTCCCAGTATGACATGAAACCTAGTTTCTAACATGTCTCAGGGAAGAAAAATCTAAAAGACAAAAATAGTCATCAAAAGAACCCTTTGAATATTGATGTGGCATTTGCTGTCCCCTGGTAACAGACACTCGCTAGGCCTACAACTTGGGTAGAATGGCATCATCCACACATAATTCTGCAGAGGAAAGTTAACAAGTCAAATATTTGGCACACATTTTTAGAATGTCCATTATGTAAATCAAATTCTCCATTTACATTTCTGAGCATAATAATTCCTAATTACTGATCGGTATACTTTAAGAGGTGATAGCCCGTACAGAGCAAGACTTACAAACACCTAGGCAGAGTGAGCTCCGTGCTTCCTAACTCTTCAACTGTTAATCATCACTGCTTACTAACTCTGGTTCCATCCCTGGGATTAAGGAAACATTTTATCCTGAATGTGCTGAGAGATGGGTGTCCTAAGGCTAATTCCCAGCAAAAAGAAACTTCAGTGCTTGAAGCAGTTTCACAACAAAAGCCTGTGCCGGAAACTGCCATCACAGGCAGGGCAGGAGGGAGCCAGAGGAGGGGTGAAGTCAGGGGCTTTTAGGATGCGAGAGATCACAGAACCCGTCTAAGGGTTGAGGGGAAGGAAGCAGAAGAAACATAAAGTCGAAAATCCAGAGAACAGGGATAGAAATCCCTGAGAGGGTGATAAGGGGTGGGTCCCACGATGAGGTTGGAGAGAAGACGACAGGAGGAGGAGGAGGAGAAAAGGGCAGAAAGAAAGAGGGTACAAGAAAAGGGGAGAAGAGGAGGAAGGGGAGAGAGGAAGGGAGGAAGTGCCAGATGTAGGGACATTTTGAAGGACAAGGACATTGAGGGGACATAAGAAACCATGAATCAAGAAGGACCTCCTCACCAAAAGGTTCGGACTCCAACAGAGAAGTGCTGCTCAGCCACTTAATTGCACATGGTAAATATATACTCAGGGGTTAGATGTTATTCTGCCTAAAACATTTTAATTGCTGTTTTCTCCTAAGGAATGTGCTTAATTCATAGTGGAGGAGACAGAGGTCATTCAGCTAGATTGATTTTTGTGGAATAACAACTCAAAGTTACTTGCATCCCACCCAACCTTTAACAAAGTTATACATCTATGTGGAAGGAAAAAAAAATCCCTCCTAAGAAAGAAAAACTCAAACACTAAATTATCAGGTTATTTCACAGTGTGGACATAAGAAATAGCAAATACACAGTTTGATATTTGGTCTGCAAGGTGAGGAAAAAAATATATTAAATTCTACAGAATAAGCTTTTCTGAACTCAGAAATACTGAGGGTTTTTTTTTTTTTTGTTGGGTTTTTTCTTTTTTTTTTTGGCTCTGATGATTTGTAAATATCTAGAAAAGCCCAGATTTTGAAGCCCCGAGGACACTTGCTAAAACTCAGAAATTTGGCACTAGTCTTCGCACACAATTTGGGTTTTCTTTCAGAGTTGATATCTTACCAAATACAGCCATCTGTGTTCCCTCTGGGAAAGGTTCAACTGTTCTGTTGCCATTGACATGATGTTTGGCTATAAAAAAAAGAGAGAGAGAGAGAGAGAGAAAGAAAGAAATGTAAGTTAAGTGTAAAGTTCCACACACAGACTAACACATGTCATTAAATGTGTCAAAGAGCCTATTTCTCATTTTTAGTTAGAAACGGCATCTCTTAAGAGAGTTTCAATTATTTTGTTTTTAATCTGCTGCAGAAGAGCCTAGAGATGGCCTAGTTCAGACATGTCATTTCACGAATGAGCCCGGCCTCGTACAGGGCTGCACAGTGGGCCGAGGGAGAGCCAGCCCGGCCTGAAAGCTCCGGTCTCCCGGCCCAAGGGAGCCCACCGGGCCAGGTCGTCTCCCGGAGAACAGGGGAAGCTCCAGGTTCTGGGGTGAACTGCGGTGGCTTCCCCTGAAGACTCCTGATGATCAGAACATTGACCCAATCAGTAAAGTGAGTCATAAAGACAGCAGGGTCACTTTGGGACCAATTTTTCAAGTACACATCATTTCACTTCAATACAAATACTGTTGCCAGGAGCCAAAGATACTCACCTTCTTATAGAAGAGGCAGATACTCTAGTGCTCGTTACTACTCTTCATCCACCCTGGCCCCCTCCACCCATCATCCTTGCCACCCTAGTGCATAACAAGGACTTAGAAACACAAAGTGACCTGGTTATGGTTTCCCAGCATTAATTTGTTCCCATAATCCGCAAACTGCAGCTAGATAGAGAATATCTGAATATGGTCCCTCTATGAGTATTTTAATAATATCCTCAGCAAATTTTGAATATGGGCAGTTGGATTGAAAATGCATAAGAGATGAATGGCTAAAATGCTTTGACACTGCATCATATAGCAATCTATTTTGGGGTAATGGGCCACAGTAGATTTATTGAACTCTGGCAAAGGACTCAGTGCTAAAGCTAGGCCCTGAGGGATATATGGGGGAGAGTATGACATTTTTCCTGCCCTCCAGCAGAGTAAAAAATTCTAATGCAAACTTTACCAGAAAAGTTACAATTACGTGCTAATAAGTCCTGGAATGGGGACTAAAGGTACTGTAAGAGTTCACAGCAGAGGGACAGTAAGTTGGGACGTCAGAGGCAGCAACGTGGAAGAATTGCAACTAGTGTAGAGTCCTAAAGGAGAGGCAGGTTTACAAAGGCAGAGGGTGCAGAAGTACCTCGAGTCATAGCCAAGAGTAGACACAACCCCCAAGGCCTCACCCGGGGCCGGAGCAGAGTCTAACCTGCGTGTGCCAGGGGTGATATGCTGAGAAGCAATGGCGATGAAAAACAGATTAGTAGGCAGGGCTGGGTCATGGAAGAAGATGTCTTGAGAGCCCCATCCAAATCCAGGGGAGCCCCAGGCAGCCTGGCCATGCCACTGCAGTCTTTTAGAGCCTGAAGGCTTCCGAAGCTCAGTCCCATTTACACAATCCCTTTAGTACAGGGACTTCCACTGGTTCTTAAGTATTTGTGGCACCCACCTAAGAAGAGGAAACCTGGGAGGAGGGAAGGAGCAGCCCAGGTGAACAAGAGAGCAAGCCTTACAGCAGTCTCTAAGCGTAACTGACACAACTGGCAGATGCGAGATGAGAGGTTCCAGGTGGCACAGGACCGCGGCAAGCACTCACTCCTATGGTTAGGACCACTGGTTACTGCATACAAAGAAATGTGGTGATGCCCCACATGGAGGTCACAGTTCTGTTCCATGGTGAGCGCTCCACAGCCCTGCCTGTGGTTCTGAAACATCTTCCTTTACACATATCAAGAGTTGTAAATCCATTCAAACACTTCAAACCACTGAACAACCTAAGAAAAACGCAATGGGGAAAAAAAGTGATATCTATAACAATATTTATTGAAGGATTATTATTTCTAATAGTGAAATCTTAAAGTCAACTAAATATCCAAAATAGAGAAGTTGCTTAGAAAGGTATAATCTGTGATTTATCAAAAGCATGGACTATTATGCAGCATATTTTGAATACAGTATCTGAGAGATATATAGGAATATGGGAAAATATTTGGGATAATGGTAAGTGAAAATCCTGTTATACACTGGATGTAGATTATTATGACAACTAATTAAAGTATAGATCCTTATGGGAAAAGACTGTCATAAAAACATGAAAAATGATAATAACTAGGGAAATTATGCAAGATGTTTACCTTTATTAACTTCCTTCGTCATTGTTAGATCCTTATTTCTAAATGAAAATATGTTTGCTTGGATTTTTAAAAAATCAACAAATTACATAGTAAAAAAAAATCTTCCCTAATCCTTGGTTCCCCAGGACAGTCCATCAAGCCTTATTTATAAGCCAGTACACATTTACAATTAAAATGCAGCCTGTTTGACATCTCCTCTGGGACAACTCAAGAGGTCCTCCGACACATGATGACCGTCCACTCTGAACCTGACCTGCCTCCAGCATCCCAACCTCTGGGCATAGGATGCCATCCTCCTACCTGTTCTCCCTTCCTCGCCACGACATCTCATTTATCCCAAATCTAGCTACTTTTGCCTTCCAGACATCATTAGAATCCTTCCACTTCTTCCCTTCACCACCAAAATCACTCCAGTCCCAACTGTTACGGCCTCTTTGCATGGACTCCTCCAAATGTCTCTATGCCCCCACTCTAATCTGTTTCTCCCAGTGTAGTCACATTACCTTTCGAAAAGAGGGTAATTCTGACTATATGACACAAACTCCCAACCTCCTCCCCACCACGGCTTCTCACTGTGCTGAGACTAAGTCAAAATTCTAACACAGTCTTCAAGAACCCACATGTGCTCTGGCCACCCCTCGTCCTTCATTCCCTCTACTGCAGCCATCTGCTCTCTCGGGACCAACGGCCTCCTTCTGCGGCATCACCACAGCGCGCCTTACGCTCAGTCACCGTTTGGAGGAGTAGACCGTAAGTTCAGGCAGGGCAGGGCTTGTCTCTTTTGCTCACCAAATCCACAGTCCTAGCACAGTATGGGGCACAGCATAGGTACCCAATGCACAGGTGTTAATAAAGGAAGACATAAAGAGTTCTAAAAAGTCTCTCTTTAGCCATTAGGATAGGTATATCATTTGATACACTAAATATATATCTCTCCTTGTATGTACATGTGTCCCTCATACAGAAGGATCATTAAAAAGGGCCTCAGAAAAAAACTCAGAAATGGTTTCCCCAGCCACGTGGCCTGGAGACAAAGGCACTCCTCTGTTCCACTGCTTACCTGTCCAACCCCTTTCGCTTCCCACTCACCTACCCCCACCTGAGAGGGCAGCAGAGCTGGTGGAGGTGGAAATGCCACCTAAACTGGAGAGGAAGGTGGAATTCAAATGCAACTCTCTCCTCACTGCTAAGGTTAGCCTGGATCTTGTCTTATCTTTTATTCTAGAGCCTGAGGCCCAAAACTAACAGGAGTCTGTAAACTCGATTTTATATTTTCTTCTAAACTGCAGCTCAGTCTTACTTCAGTCCCTGGAGAGCAAAGACATCGCATTAGCCAACAAAAAATAGTGCAGCTTCAGCAGCTAAGGACATGGGCTCTGGAATAAGACTGATTTGGAATCTCAGCTCACCCATTTCCCAGCTTAGTCATTTAACCTCTTTGTGCCTCAGCTTCCTCATTTGTAACAACCTTATGGGTTGTTTTGAGAATTCAATAAGTCAACATGTATAAAGCACAGAGAACAGTGCCTGGCATAGAGTAAACACTACTTAACTTACTTAGTTTACTTAACTTAGTTAACATAGTTTAGACTAGTATCATCTATGTGTGAACTTCATTTTTCACAAGGTCTTGATTGGGAATGACAAATACATGTCACTTATGTACCTTTCCTCCACTTCCATGCCCATGGCAGGCATCACTAATCAACCACAGTACACTTTCTCTCTCCTCTTAGCACCCCACCGAATCAACTCATTATTTAAAGAGCACATGTATGCTTAAATCCTTTTGTCATTCAGGGTCTAAATGAATAAAACAGAAAGACAGTACAAAGAGAGAAGCCATTGTCCTTCTCATTTCTACATAATAAAGTACAATAAGAAGAGAGACCCATTGAAAATCTCCAAAACTCTATAGACAGCTTTAGGGATTAAAAAAAAAAAAATGGAGAGAAATCTGCATACTACTTTCTATCCCACAAGGAGGGAATCCTGAGTTCTTAAAAACTAAACAATGGCAGTTCTATTCCTGGAAACCAAGGCTGAACTTCTAAGGGCACTTTCCCATTGAAACTCTGCTGAGGCCAGTGTCTGGGAGCCAAAGAACCAGCGATCCTTTAAACGCATTTTATAGGCCAAGTACTATTTGGGGGTAGAGGAAGACTAACCTGGGAACCTAGCAAGCATTTGTACGTGGTTTTTTTTTTTTTTTTCAAAATCAGTTGCACATTTCACCACAGAAACAATCAAACTGACTAAATAAAAGTCTCTTGTTGATTGGACACTAACTATTGATTACCAGCAGGGCACGAAATGGAGACAGGAGGGCTTTCTGACAGGGACATCTGTTGCCTGGCCACAGCAGGGTGGATGTCTCCAATCTGGCTGGTTGGGCAGATGTCCCTGCCCCTGCTCCATGGGGACATGTTCCGAGGCCACATGCTCCAGGAAGACAACCTCTGATGATGGCCAGATGTGTCCTCAGTCAAGGGTATATGAGGACAAGGAATAGATTTTCATTTATCTTGAAAACCCAGTGCTTGAGGTGCGGCAAGGTTAATTAGAGCAAGTTTGGGTCAAAGTCAACTACTGGAGAGATTTTGAAGGGGATTTAGGGGGGCATGTTCAAAAGCTTTAGAAGATGAAACTGACACTGTTTGTTTGTTTTTTGCTTTGTTTTGTAAATATCTAATGCACCTCAAACTTTATGACTGTTTTCTTCCTTGAAAATTACAATATAACTGTTTGATAATGAAACTATAATGATGCAAATTCAGGCATAAACAAACCAGTGAGTAGCTCCATGTCTTGTACTCAAACTGAAATACCTAAAATTCATATCTTCTAGGTGGGGA